CTTTACTTCAAAACCCCAAAGCTGGGCCTTTGGAGGGCCCGATCGCGCCTAAACCGGCCTCAGCGATGGTACAAATGGCCATTCTCTCCCTCATGACTGGCGGGGCACCCTGAAGGGGAAGCGGCCCAGGACTTAGGAACCTTGTCCCTTGAACCAGCCTGGAGAGGACTCAGCGAAGAGCAGGAGCGGCCAGTAGCCCTCCCTGCCCCACCCCCACCGCCCAAACTCGCAGTGACGGGGACGCAGACTGCGGGGCTGTGGATGCACTGGATGTGCATGCCTTTGGAGGTCGTAAAGGGCCCTCTGTGATGGAACAGATCTCAATCCGCGCGCGCCCCACCCCACAAGGCCAGGGCCTCGTCCTTGTAAAAGCATCAGGGATTTGGAAAAACTCCCAAAACCGGCTGAGGGGGTCTCTGATTTCACGCCCCTTCTCTAATAAGGGGGGCACTGCTAGATGCTGAGGGACCCAATGTTTGGAAGTTACGGATCCCTTGGCTCAAAGGGGTCTTCGTGATTTTGCAAGTATTGTTGGCCCTCGGTGCAGAAGAGACCTGGGAACTTTCAGAACTGCGGTTGGTGGTTCTTAGAAGCCACCCCACTGTGCTGAGTAAATAGCTGGCTCTCTGTTTTCCAGCGTTGCCTCAGGGAACACTTTACCCAGTCTGTGCCCTGCAGGCTTCACTTCCAGGACTGACCTTAGGTGTCTTGTCCATCTGGTGAGGATGGGGAGGCAGAAAGCACCCTGAGGCTTTGATTGCCATTTGCCTCAAAAATGGAACTAGGCATTTTCATACCTGGAGAAGTTGCACCTCTATTAATTAGTAACAGTTCCAGTGTGGTTTCTGAGCAGACTCTATATGTCCTGTACCATGCTATGTATTATTTAGCATTTTCAACCTATGAGGTAAGTATTATTAATCACATTTTATGGATGAGGAAACAGGATTTAGAGAATTGACAAAAAGAATGCTAGTAAGGGAACAAGGTAGCATTTGAACCCCCGGTTCTGCCCTTTTAGAATTACATTATTGTGTAATAATATATAATGCTACATCATCATCTCTCATTTCTTAAATAATAGAAAAGCTATCATTTGATATCACAAGATGCCGAGTTTCAAACAAAGCACTGCACACGTAGGCTCTTATTTAATTCTAAGAGTAACCTTGTGAGAAAGACAGGGTATTGAGATGTGAAAACTTGACTACTTACCCAGCGACAGCTATTAGTAAAGAGCAGAAGAATGACTTAAACTGAAGTCATTTTGTTTTCAAAGTCTGGCTTAAACCTTAGCAGTTCTGCCTCTCTCCCACTGCATTATAAATATAGCCAGGGTTGCACTGGATGTGGTCCTCCTTGCTTTTAATCCTGTAACTAAAATCTTGGTGATTATGTGCCTGTGACAACTGAATGATGCCTTCATTTGTATATCTTCAGCTCTGCTTGTCCACCCAAGCTCTGAGACCATTCTTCCATCCAATACTGGAGAATCAGCTTGGTGTTTCTAACTCTTCTGGAGCCCTAGGAAAGACTAAAAGTAACTTTATCTTTTTTGGTGAAATTGTACCCAGGTAGTCGTTTTGACAACTTCTCCAAACCGTGCTGAAAACATATGCTAGAGAAAGTTTTATATTCCTTACAAAACACTAAATTGCATTTATCTTTTGAGCCTTCTTTTTAAATGGGTTTTTCTTTCTATAGACTTGATGATAACTAGGCCTTGTCAAAGAATATTAAAAGACTAATGTGTGGTATGCATTTTGAGAAACTTCCCACCAAGGTTAGAGAAACACTTATTATTGACAAAATTGGTCATTTGTTAATTTATTCCTTTTTTCCTGAATTCTCCTATAAGTAATGTTTACCCATTCATTATCATTTCATACCTAGAAATCCCATGTGTGACAGCTGTAAAGTTTAATATGAAAGGTCTTCAAACCAAAGCAGTATTGCATTAAGATCCTGTTTTGGGTTTTTTCTCACTCTAGATTTCCCTTTGATACTTGTTACTCATGCCCCCTCACTGGGAGTCATTCAGCCTTCTGAGCAGCACTAACACCAAACTTTTCTTTGCAGGGATGCTGAAGATGCAATTTATGGAAGGAATGGTTATGATTATGGCCAGTGTCGGCTTCGAGTTGAGTTCCCCAGAACTTACGGAGGTCGGGGTGGGTGGCCCCGTGGTGGGAGGAATGGACCTCCTACAAGAAGATCTGATTTCCGAGTTCTTGTTTCAGGTATGTTCCTTTCAAACTGAGTGAGACAATGCATGTAAAATACTTAGCAGTCTGACCTCCAAGTAGTGTTAGCTGTTTCTCTTCTGTGCATGGGATACATAGGGCTTTCCTTTCCATAGCCTATGTACACTGAGTCTGAAGCCCTGCGCTGTCTTGCTAGTGAGGCAGGTGTCTTGCAAATGAGATTGCACTGGTAGTGCAGCCTTGTTAGAACAAAAACTTATTTTTTTAAATGTATCTTTATTGATTTCAGAGAGAAGGGGAGAGAGAGAGAGAAACATCAATGATGAGAGAGTCATTGATCAGCTGCCTCCTGCATGCCCCCAACTGGGGATCAAGCCTGCAACCTGGGCATGTGCCCTGACCGGGAATCAAATCAGGATCTCCTGGATCCTAGGTCTGTCAGTGCTCAACTGCTGAGCCACGCCTGGCAAGGCAAAAACTTTTTTTTTTTTTTTTTTAATATATCTTTATTGATTTCAGAGAGAGGAAAGGAGAGGGAGAGAGAGAGAGACAGAAACATCAATGATGAGAGATCATTGATCGGCCGCCTCCTGCACGCCCCCGAATGGAGATCGAGCCTGCAACCCGAGCATGTGCCCTGACCGGGAATCGAACCCTGATCCCCTGGATCCTAGGTCAATGCTCAACCGCTGAGCCACGCCTGGCCGGGCCAAAAACTTTTTCTTATAAAAGTTTTCTAGTGTTCAAAGAGAAAATGATGGCAAAACCCTATGAGCTGGAATTCTAAAAATGTTTTCTTTTGGAATGTACCATGGTATTGGACTTGATAGAAAAGACATTCTAGAAGCTAGATGTAAACAACTTACCCAGCCATGGATCCTGAAAAAGGCTAGTTTTTGTGGTGGTTTTCAACTTATGTAAAAAAATGAAAAACAACTTGGTGTCTTAGGGATTGTTAAAAGTATAGAACAAAATATTTAGTGTTGACAAGTGATGAAATTATAAGCTCTGAGGTTTATGCATCTTTTGAAATATTAACACACTGGTAAAGACCTTGGGCAGGGTGTTTTAGGGCCCTGGCGGAATGAAATGTCTTGAGGAGCCTGGCACCTTTTTTGATGTGAATATCACAATCACAGCTGACTCCCGTTGGTCCTTAAGAGTGATACTGTCAGTATCTGCCTACCTTCTGTCCCTTCATGATTTTTTTAACCCCAGGACTCTGTTCCCTCCTTCAAGATGTCATACATATCTTTTTCTCTCTCCATGCTGCTCTGAAATCCTGCTTAGAAAACTATTAGGAAATGGCTGCAGTCCTGAGCTATGAGCGGTAAACACAGCCTTTGAGAGCAGGAGCACATTTCCCTTTCATGACATCAGGTAGGGTTGTATGACTCCCGACTAGTTTTAGCATCTGAGTCCTACCTTTTCCCCCACTGTATTGAAGAATATTGGTGATCTTTTAAGAGGTACTTTGTATAGTTTGTCAGTAAAAAACAAACTTTAGATTTTTGTCGTGTTATCTTCTGCTACACTTTGGTTATTTCATTGGATGGTTTCAGATTTCCATGTCCTGGGAACCTAGTCAGGCAAGAAATCATTGGTACTGATAAATTTCATATGGAATAAAGAATTCAGAGTCTTGGGAGTTTGGTATTAATTATGAAGGGCAAAGAGAAGCTATGAATTCTCAAGAGATACTAAACATGTAATGAGTTGGACTTCTTGCTATGTTGGAAAGGCTTGTTCTGGAAGATTAGTCTAGGACTAGCTTCTTTAAGGTGATTTACCATACATACTTTAGTGCTTTTCTCTATTTTCCTGTCCCTTACCAAGATTTGTGATTTGGGGACCCTAGGTATTGCTGGCTCTTAACAGGGCAGATAACACTGAAGGATGCCTCTTCTCTTATGTTCTTCATACCTAGGACTTCCTCCCTCAGGAAGCTGGCAGGACCTGAAGGATCACATGCGAGAAGCTGGGGATGTCTGTTATGCAGATGTGCAGAAGGATGGAATGGGGATGGTTGAGTATCTCAGAAAAGAAGACATGGAATATGCCCTGCGTAAACTGGATGACACCAAATTTTGCTCTCATGAGGTGGGTCCCCACCTTCTGTTGAGGAGCTTGTACCCAGTCCACTCCACCTGAAGCTGACCTAGCAGAAGTAGCAACAGGCCATGCATTTGCCTTTTGATGACCTCACAGTACCATTAAAGATCTATCTTAAATGGACAAAGCCAAGGAATTCATCATGCCTAAGTCCTGCAGGGTCATAACAGAGAGAAGTCTACAGTCATAGTATTTTTAACCTGGAGAGAATACTGGTGCAGTCTGTCATAATGTGGTGAGCTATTGTGATAACATCCCTCTCATAACTGGCTTAATCTGCAATCTCTCTCTATGAACCTAAATATTATGGCTGTCCCACCTCTGGGTCTAGTCTGGGCTCTACAAGCCAACCACATCATCTCAACCCCTCTAGATACTGCTTTTGAGGCTGAGTTGTCACTTCACTTTTCTTTCCCAGAGTAGTGCAGGATCCTTTTTGAAACCTGAGCCACTTTGTTATTGTCTTGTGGTTGATCATCTCCCTCGGGGCTGAGTTCTCAAGTCCTTCTTGGATGTCCTTCCTTTGAGAAGGCAGCTGCTACTTTGAGTATCTCAATCTGATTTGATGGTGACTATCCCTTTGATAGCATTGAGAACAGATACTAGACCACTGATAGGATTTTTAAAAATTTTTTATCCTGCCTGACTTGCTTTGGGGTTTATGGATGTCTGGGGACATGAATATCTAGGCCCATTTCTTTTTCTAAGGATTCATATATTTTCCTAATTTTATGGCTTGGAGGCTGTATGGTTTAACAATGCTTTTGCTCGGACTAACCCTTAGGACTTGATTTTGGAGCAGAAACAAAACAGTACCTGATCAAATACATTGCAAAGCAGAGCTTCAGGGTAAATCTAGTTACTGATTTCACCTAGGGGAAGAAAACCATCTGGCTTCTTTCATTTTAGCATCTTTAGATCTGAGAATGCTGCCTGATGGCAAAGGGCCTGGAGAAAGGCCAGCCTGAACATGACTCCTGCTGCTTAGCTGAGCTACTCTCAACCCTGGTTTCTCGATATGCAAAATAATCACAATAGCACTGTCTTATAAGACTTGCTAGGAAGTTAAATTATGAAAATAACTAGAGCATCTAGCCCAGGTCCTGACACCTAGGAGATGCTGAATACAGGTTAACTCCTTCCATAGGTGCCCACTGAAAGATGTATATGAGGTGGCAGGGGATTGAACTATACAGGGTGGGGCAAAAGTAGGTTTACAAAGTTGCGAGTACGTGAAAGTTCATTTTTGTATTTTCCATATGAGCAACTGTAAACCTACTTTTGCCCCACCCTATATATAATACATATATGTGTGTGTGTGTATACATACACACACACTCTGAGATCTTTTCCAGTTCTTGGATTCTAGGGGTTAGTGGTAGTTATTAAGACATGTTAACAGTAGTAGCTAGTATTTGAGCATTTACCACATATCAAGTTGCGATTTATTGTGTCACCTTGGGCAGATGATAGCACTCTTGAAATGGGCTAGTGCCTACCTCATAGAATTGAGAGAGCTTGATGAAATAATATCGTCCCAGGCAAAGTTAGTGCTCCATACTTAGCTGTTATTGTTAGGCAGATATGCTAGGTGTTGGTAGGCTTTATTCTTCTGGGTCTTATTTTACCCTCTACTTTTTGTTTGAATTTCAGGGTGAAACTTCCTACATTCGAGTTTATCCAGAGAGAAGCACCAGCTATGGCTACTCACGGTCTCGGTCTGGGTCAAGAGGCCGTGATTCTCCATACCAAAGCAGGGGTTCCCCACACTACTTCTCTCCTTTCAGGCCCTACTGAAACAGGTGATGGGAATTTTTTCTTTATTTTTTAGGCGAACTGAGCTGCTTTGTGCTCAGAATTTACATTCCAGATTGATGATTTAGTGTCTTAGAAAATTTTTTTAATTTTTTTTTTAAGGAAATAAAATTACATTAATTTCTACCAGGGCCATATTAGCAGTGAAACATTTTCAACTGCAGAAATTGTGGTTTTGGTTCAGAAACAAGTTGTATATTTTTCACCCCTGATTATGGGAAAAAAAAAAAAAATCAGTGCTGTGTCTTTGTGGGTTGCTCTGCTATGGAGATCAGCAGTTACTGTGACTGAGTGGACCCATTCTGTTTAGAAATATATTTTAAACGTTTCATAATTGACATGTGTGGTTGTCCTTGATTAAGTTCATAGATTTCACCAAACAGGCACACTGATTTTTTAAAAAAATCACTGCGTTGTACTGCCAACTTGTACTCAGTTGGTAAGGAGCAGGAGGGGATAACTTTATTTGGGCATAAAGATAGTTGTTCTGATGGTGGTTTGAGACTTTCATCCCAAGGGCAGGCAGGTTCAGGGTTCTCTTATAGTTTAAGACCAAGCTTGTAAATTAAGCTGCTTTATTTTTTTTCATTATTATTTTCTTTAATATACCTTTATTAATTTCAGAGAGAGGAAGGGAGAGGGAGAGAAAGAGAAACACCAATGATGAGAGTGTCATTGATTGGCTCCCTCTTACACGCCCCCCCTGCTGGGGATCAAGCCCGCAACCCGGGCATGTGCCTTAGTAGGAATTGAACTGCAGTCTCCTGGATCATAGGTCAATGCTCAACTACTGAGCCAGGCCATTTGGGCAAATTAAGCTGCTTTAAAAAAAGTGAGCATTGCAGATAGGGGAAAGGAATGGGAAGATTAAAAATAGACTTATAAATGGGCAACAGCATAAAGATCGTTGGAAAATTCTTCACCAAAACCAGTTTTGGCAGTTTGGTTAGGAAAAAAAGATCTCTAAGTTCTGGTTTTATCACTTTTACTTCTGTCTTTTTTATCCTTGCTATTTGAGCTTTTTAAAATTTTTCAATTACAGTTCACTTTCAACATTTTGTATTCGTTTTGGGTGTACAGCACAGTGGTTAGACAGTCATATACTTTATAAAGTGTGTCCCCCTCCCTTGATATTTCTAGTATGCACCTGGCACCATACAGTTACCGCAATATTATTGACTGTACTTTACATCCCCGTGATTATTTTGTAACTACCAAATAGTACTTCTCAATCCCTTCACCTTCTTCACCCAGTCCTCCAGCTCTCCTCCCCTCTGGCAACCACCAGTCCACTCTATCTGTGAGCTATATGAGCTTTTTTTTAAAAAAGAAAAACAAACTGGGGGAAACCCCCACCATCTTGGATTCTGCTCAGTTCAACAATTCAGTAATAATCATGGGGTCGATTATGTCATAGGCCTGAGGCTATATTTTTTAAAAACCCACTTAAGTATGACTGGCATGTAAAAAACTATATTTAATGTATACAACTTAATGAGTTTGGGGTTAAGTATACACCAATGAAACCACCACCATCAAGGTCATAAACATCCATCCTATATGTGGTAAGAACATTTAACATAAGACCTATCCTCTCAGCAAATTTTTAATATACAATAAGTATTGTTAGCTATTCTAGGACTATTTTTGTAAGTTCTTTTCAGAAAGTGAAACTGTAAGTGTGGCTAATATCCCTTTTGCATATAATCACTTTGTGGGGTGTGGATGGTTCTTGGTCAGGAGTTCAAAGCTGTAGTCTACTTTGAACACTCTTCAAACCTTAACTGAAAGTTAGCCCTCTATTGGGAACAAAGTGGGTATCCAGGAACAAGCTCAAGTGTGTTTGGTAAAGATAAAAGGGTGCTCAGGTAGATGGAAACAGCAAGGAAAAAGGACAATTCAGATTGTCACACAGTGATCAGATGCAATGTTTAACATTTACATAAACAGGAAAATTCACATAAGTACAGTTAGGTAGATAGTCTTTTGGGGAGGAGATAAAGGGGGATAATGTCTTCAAAATGGAACATTTCCTTGGAAATTGACAATACCTTTTATTTCCATTAGCATCAGGAACATACTGCCTTGTTTGGGCTAAATCTTTCCCAATTCTGTCTTCAGACAAGTTTGTTACTAAAAAAAAAAAAAATACTTAACCACTGATATTTTTCAGGTTACTGAGAGAAGTGGGACCTTTAGTATTCATAACAACAAATACTGTCATGCTTCCATGTGTTCACAGAATAGCTCCTCAGCTGTGTGAGAAGGGCTCTTGTTCATCCAGCTTTGGCAAAGAGATATTACCTGTTTGAAAACAATAACAAAAAAAGAATGTTATAGCTCAGCCTGCTTCCCAGCTGGCTCTCCTGAGCTAACTTACCACTTGGTTTGTCATGGAAAATAAGCAATGAAAGTAAGTGTAGCTACTATCCTGTTTTCCTAACTATGAGTATCTGAAAGAATCACAGTTATAAGTGAAGCCTAATTAATGCACTTTTCAGTAAGCAGCAGACAGGTTAATTAGCTATATGCATATAGGAGTGGAAGGAAGACTATGACTGTGAACTCACTTTGCCTCAAGAAGTGACACAAGGTTCTGTTTAGAAATAGCATGTGACCGATCAATGGATATGTCTGTTAAAACTATGACAACCATCAGGCTCTGAGATAGATTCTAAAATTTCATTTCTCCAGTTGACTGAGGTGGTTTAGTAAATCAGAGGCATGATTTAAACTAGAGTTCACAATTTTTTTAGCTTTCCTTCCCATCTTTGCTTCAACCAGAGCTTTCCTTTAATTGGTTGATCTTGATCAAAGAAGTAACCCCTGAGTTGGAGGACTGATGTTTGTTTCTGGACACTGTTTGGAAAGGTTCTCTGCTGAGGGTATCTCCTGAACTTGAAGTTGGTACTTGGAAAGCCATCTACCTGAGTGCTTAGGCTAGTCCCATTCCCAAATATCTAGAGGTGTGCATCAGCTCTGAGGACCCACTTATCTGCAGAGGGGATAAAAACTCAGCCCACCCAAGGTTCTGGATTTTATTATTGGCCCAGAGTTATTGTTAAACTTCCATTTAAAATAGTTGCAGTGAGGTTTAAAGATGCAAATCTTTACACCAGGTGTTGCAAACTGATGAAAACAGGATGCATCTGGCTTGCAGGTATGTTATTTGCATGGTCTTTTATTTTGAAAATTTTGAATTAATTGCCAGTACTTAAAACTTGGGAAGTATCATACAAAATGCCAGATGTCCAGGTTCTCTGGAAAAATGGGCTCACATTCCTGCCTGGCACTGAATGAGAAATAGCGAATGCCAGTTGCCCCTTAAGGCAGAGCTTGAGCTCCAGATTTGCTACTGCACACACTCCTCCCTGCCCCAGTTCTGTTTTGCTTTATTTTTTCAATCCTCACCTGAGGATATGTTTACTGATTTTAGAGAGAGAAACATTGATGTGAGAGAGAAATTGATCAGTTGCCTCCCAAAAGTGTCCTGACCAGGGAACGAACCTGTGACCTTGGTTTGTCAGGATGACACACTAACCAACTGAGCTATCTGGCCAGGGCCACAGTATTGTTAACTACAGTCATCATGTTGTACATTACATCTCCAGGACTAATTTATCTTAAAACTGGAAGTGTGCACCTTTTTCACCTAATTCCCAGTTTATACTTTTGGAGTGCTTACAGAGAGCAAATTTGGGCCTCACAGTTCCTACTATGTTCTTAGTTTACTGTGGGACAAGCTTGTTAGACCACTTTGGGAAATACATACCTGGGGGGGCCACAAAATACTCCTCCACAACTCGATGGGAGTTCTGTAGTAGTTCTTCAGCACAGTTGCCTTCTACCACATTGTCGGATCTCAAGTATAAACATCTACAAAACCAGAAGCTTACGGTTACCTTGTCGGAGAGCAGGGCTTCTAAGGCATGGTGGAGGATCAAGAATGCGAGAACAAGGGCTCAGCATACGGAGGCTGGGCACTGCTCACAGGTGGACGAGCTTGGTCAACACTAGATCAAGTGCGGTCTACAGTTTATAGATTCTCCCAATAACCCTGTACAGTAAGTAGTTATTATTACTCGGGGTTGATATGCTTAAATATTTTTGGGTAATTACAATAGGTAAGTTGTTTTTGGTGGAGATAGATAATTAAAGGCAATTATAATACAGTGTGTTAAATCTAACAGGTAAGCATAGCTTGTCAAGGGAGTAGAAAGGGACATCTGACCTAGCCTGGGTGAGGAACAAGTACTCAGAATAAGTGATGTCATTGCTAAAGAATGGGCAAAAAATAGCTGGATTGGGACTGGGAAATGGGCTTCCTGGCAGGTAACTTGCTCAAGAGTGGTTTATAAATGACTTAAGGGTACTAGCTCCTCTGTGATAGGACTGGGATCTGTGCTCAGTTCTGGTACTCCTAAGACAAGTGTTTTCACTGCAGTCACCTTTGTGGAGTTAAAAGTGCCTCCTCTTGCAAGATGTACCACAAACATAGCTCAGGACTCTCCTAGTGTTCTCTGGGTCTAGTGATTTCATTAAAGTATCCAGATGGCAAATTAATGAAACCAAACAGGGGCTGAACATCTATGAAGCTTCACTACTGTTTCAAGGTTTAAGAGTGTATGATAGGAGGTCTGAGCCTGCTTCCTGATACGTCGACCTAAATAGAAAGCAGTCTGCTCAGGCACGCATAGGGGAGCAGCCAAAATCTGCTTTGAGCCAGGCATACACTAAGGGCTAAACCTAATGGGATAAACGGGAAAGGGGTGACATGAACATCTGGGCAGAGGCTGCCTAGAGGGCTAAGTTGTAAGATTCTTTTAGGAAAGCACTAGTTCTTTTTGTGGCACCCAGCCTCAGGCTAGACACAGTAAACATGCTGGAGTCCATTCCAGGATCTGGCACTGTCTTAATTGTGGTCTTGAACAAGTGTGATCTTTCCAGACCTTAAGTTTCTTGCCAAAAACTCCCAGGAAGGCTGCAGTAGTGTTTTTTTATTAATCAGAGAAGGATTATGTATTTAAGAAAACTTGGAAAACAAAAATAAGTCATCCATAAAGATGACCATTGGATTGTCTGCAGCTTTTATTTCTGTTGGGCAGTATAACAAAATGGCTAAGAGCTTGGACTCCTGAATCACAGCTGAATTCAAGTCCCACTGATGAGGGGTTTTTTTCACCACAGCCACCTTCATGTGGCATGTGTGCAAATTACTTATCCTCTCCATGTATCAGTTTCCTTATTTGTTAGTGTGCTTCCTAGAGTTGCTGGGAAGATTAAATAAAATGATATTTTAAAAATCTGATAATGCTGGGCTGTACTTTCATGTCAGTAAGAGATGGATGTTGAATAGCACCTGCTCCTTACACCCAAGTACAATACACCCAAGTACACCTCAGTCCCCACCACTCATTCAGAGTATAACTGTACTTAACCTGCTGTTACCACGCTTAACCTGCCTAGTTCCTACAGACTAGATGGGTGCCAACTGTTTCTGGACACTTGGAGATTTTGATGAAGACTCTACTACCGCCAACAGGTTAAAAAGCTACTGCTTCCCAGCAGCTGATATAATAGCAACTGATTTTTCACTCATTTGGTAATCAGGTTTCCTGTGTGACATTTCCAGAAAAACAAAATTAACCCCTTTAAATATCACACATTTTCACCTGATTACTGTTTATGATGAAGTTGTTTCTAGAATAAACCCACACTTACCTGTTTTCTTCATTATAGGCTACTGAACCCAGGGTCTCTATGAGAGTGGCACTCCAAGCAGACCCTTCATTTGTCAAGTAGCATAACTTGACCTCGAAACCATGCATAAAACACCAAAAAGGAACCGAGGCACTCTTTAGGTACCTGTGAATCCCTGACTGTCTAAACCCTTCAGAGTTGTATGTGATAACTGAGTTAATGCATATAAATATTAATGCCTGTCACTTAAGCATGCTAATACTTTTTAGCTCAAACCAAGTAACAGGTTATTAGTGTGCCAAAGACTTCTATTAGCCAGTCGGGGCCTTTACAGTGACTGTGACTATCACTTAAAACCCTTTAACACTTGTCTTCACTTAACTGGGTTCTATTTCAAATGTCAGGCAGCATGTTCAAAATATGAAAGTCCCAAATTTATGGCAAGATTGCAGATCACTGAATACTAAGTCACTAGTCCAGCTACCAGATCCAAATCCCTCTTCATCTTTTTCATAAACTCTTCTCTGAGTAATAGTTACATTTCTTTAGTTATCCTCTAGACAACTTAGGAAATTCTGACTCTCCTTTGTGTGTCTATTCCCTACTTTCTCAAAGATATTAATAAAGGACAGCCAACATTTACTCAATGTCTGCTCAGTGCTAGATCCTGAGAACATGATGAGCAATAACAAACGTTCCCCGGAACATGGATAAGCAGGCGGGGAGAGGCAGAGAATCCAATATCACACAGGTGTATAAAATACATGTAAAATTACAGCACTATTGAATCCCATGAGAGACCCACGGGTCCTGAGGGGGTGGCAGTGGAAATCTGAAGAAAGAAATTAGGCAAAAAAGAGTAGGTGTGATGAAGGGGGGGTAAAGGCAAGGGCCTTTTAGAAGAAAAAAGGATGGAGAGGTAGATTAAGTGATGCCCTCCCTGCCTGCTGTGGTGAAGCTTTTGTCTTTATGCTAAAACCACCTGAAGGTTTTGGGTAGGAGAATGACATCAGATTTCTGTTTTGAAACGCAGTGTAACTTTGGGCAAATTAAACTTTCTACACCTGAGCATCAAAATATAAAACAGAGAGAGGATTTGAAGGAATCAAAGACGAGTTCAGAACAGGAAGTCAGCAAGCAGTTTACACAAAGGCTATGGTTACGGATGGGTCTGGCTATCCCTAATAGTGCTGATTAATAGCACCAATCTTTCTTGTTCCCACCTGTACTAGTTCATTACTTTGGGTGGTTTTTTTTTAATCCTCACCTGAGGATGTCTTCCCATTGCTTTTTCAGTGAGAGTGGAAAGGAGCGAGAGACACATCGATTGGTCGCCTCCTGCACGTGCCCCTAGGGGTGGGGATGGAGCCTGCAAGCGAGGTATATGCCCTCGGCCGGAATCCAACCCGGGACCCTTCAGTCCGCAGGCCGACGCTCTAACCAGAGCCAAATCGGCCAGGGCTACATTTAAATTTTCCAAAAAAAATTTGAGACAGGAATCCAACAGTAATCAAGTTGGATATGAACTCATTCTAATAAGAGAACAAGTCAACAAAAGTAAGACGGTCAAGAAAAATATCTGAAGAAAACCCAACAGGCTCAGGAAGAGGAGAGGGGATTTGGACTGGTCAGAAGCCCTTCGGAGGAGATAAACTGAGACCTGCCAAAGACACCGTCCAAGAAAAAAGAAATAGCAAAGTGCAAAGATCCTGGAGAGGGAACTAATTTGGCATGCTGGAGAACAGTAATGAAGCCCATGGGAAGAGTAGTGTGTCCGGGTGGTGGGCAGGAGCTCTCTGAAGCAGAGCCTCCAAGAATGATAGATTTTGTTCCTAGTTGCACTGGGAGGCCTTGACGAATTTAAACGAGAGCGATAGGACCCGTTAGAGTGAAAGCACTTACCCGGGGTGAAAGAGCGTAAGTTCCTGCCTCTCGCCTAGGGCTTTCTCCCTCTGGGAAACATGACACTAATCGCCGCCCTGAAAGGCTGCGAAGGTGCCACAGGCCGGCTTCGGGGCCGCAGCCCCGGGTTTACCTGTCCTCCAGTACTGACTCCATGGGCTCCACCCCGTCGGTGTCCACGCCGCGCAGCCGGTCGGCGAAGGCGACCGCCTGCTCCAGCTGTGCCACGGCCGCGGCCTCCTGGCTGCCGAAATCCACGAGCGCTAGACGCTCCAGGCGCCCGATCACGTCGGCGGTGATTCGCCCCCTTCCCTGGGGAGGAGTGCGGGTGAGGGAGGCTGTGCCTCACGCGCGCGGCCCGCCCCGCCTCTCCAGCCGCTCACCCCCCGCGGAGGCAACCCCACCTCCCCGCCTTTACCTGAGGATTTGCCTTGGAAGCCAAGCCCCGGCGCCCGCCCAGGGGGGCCCCGAGGACCAGCCGCACAGCCCGCGCCCACATTTCCCCTTCTCGGCCTCCGTACGGCGCCCTCACGTAAGCGAGCGACGTGCCTGAGGGTGATGACATCAGAGTGCGCCGCCACTGCAGCCGCCATGAACAGCGTAGGGGAGGGATGCACCGACATGAAGCGCGAGTACGATCAGTGCTTTAATCGCTGGTTTGCCGAGAAGTTCCTCAAGGGGGACACCTCCGGGGACCCGTGCACCGAACTCTTCAAGCGCTACCAGCAGTGTGTTCAGGTGAGCTGCCGCCCTCGCCTCCACCCCGGGCCCCGCGCGCTCTGCTGTGTCCCCGGCCTCAGGCCTTGTATCTTGCCCGGGTTGGGACCGGGAGGGTGGAGAAAAGCCCTGTCAGTGAGGCCAGTGGCAGTTCTCTCTCCTGCCGTCACCACCAAAGCTGCCCGGTATTTCTCCAGATGACAAAGTTAAATGTTTTTGTAGTGCTTTACTTTTTATGGAGCACAGTAACATTCTTTGGTTCACTTGTTTATCTTAACTTGCAAAGTGGGCGTAGCTCTTCGTCGCTGAAAAATAGAACACTGACGCCCAGAAATGGGAGCGGTTAGGCCCCGTTCACTAGAATCAAGTTGCTTTGATTTTTTGCGGTGGTGCCCTTTTCCACTGTATTGTTCTGGGGCAAGGCTGGGTGGGTGTTAGCCTGTCTCTGGCCTGGCCCATGAGACAATATGGGGGGAGCATTTTTCCTTGTTATAATCCCTTCCTTCTCTCCTTCCCTCCCTCCCTGCCTCCAGTTGTTGCTGTCTTTACCCCTTTTGCAGACAGGGAAGTGAGGCTTGCTCAAAGCCAGTAAACTTCATATTGACCTTTATAATGTGTTTTCTCCTCCCACCAGAAAGCAATAAAGGAGAAGGAGATTCCTATTGAAGGACTGGAGTTCATGGGCCATGGCAGAGAAAAGCCTGAAAGCTCTTCTTGACCTTGATAGTCACCTTGAAAACTGACTCCTCAAATCAGGAAATTGAGCACTGTGGATTTTGTCAATTAAGGCTGTGACGATAGCCATCAATTTAATGAGGGGTTTAGGGGGGAGTTTTTTCCCCTCCTCCTAGATGTTTTCCTCTCACTTGTAAAAGATGATGAACCGTCACTTTTTACTTTGGGATGATTTCTCACTTGCATCTTGCAGGAACTTGCTGTGCTAAAACGGAATGATCTCTTGGGATTATGGTTGCAATACTTCATCTGGGATCAGCTTTAAATATATCTTGTATGTAAATACTGATAAAACTTGTCAGGATGATCATGGTTGCCTGACCTCTTGCGTTATGCTTCGAAGGACATTAGGTATACTGTACTGGGGTCACTGTTCATGGAAGCAATTGGTTTGGACCTCTTTTCTCTCAGGGAGCTAATGCTCTAAAAAGGGATCCCTTCACGACTGTTTCAATCAATGTTTGGGAGCAGTTTTATTTTTATATAGTAACTTGACTGTTAAGATCACTGGTGGACTGGCTTAGCCAGGAGGAAACTTTTAAGTTCCCTGCCTTAACAAGAGGTGTCAGATCTCAAAACGTGAAAGCTTCAAGAATGTTAGAATGAACACCATTTCAGAGCTCACAGTGTAGTTGTCATTAAGATCCTTGGAGTATGCTGTGGAAGATCCTGAATTGCAAAGATTTGCTGCTGCTAGCTTTCAGCCTAAGTCAGTGAATTAAGTCGACCTGTGTATCATGAAAATGCCAAAATACTGTATGTGGTTAAATAGGGGGAGAAAGGAATTTGCTTTATTTGCCTTGTTTATCCACCCTGCACTGTAATATCTGTAATCATGAAGATGGAATAAACTGTAACGTTTAGTTTCTCTTATTTGCTCCTTGAACTCTGCACTTTATGGAACAGCTATTACTGTTACCCCACATATCCCATATATACACTGGAGGGAGTTTTATATGTTTTATAATTTAAAGACGAGGATAAAGTGAAGATTTATCTAAGGTAGTATGGCATGGAAATTAGAAACCTCACTGACTTTTTAAAGTTTATTTCCACATGGCACACAAAGTCAGGATCAGGTGAGCACTTCCATACTTCAGAATGTCATGTAGTTCCCACAACTGCTTATCTTGAGTAATATGGTTCAATAGTATGAAATTTGATTTAAAGACCTAAGTTCTATTATCTCCACCTTACCAATTACTACTTCATATTTGTAACCAGTCCTTAATGTCATTTTGAGACATCCTGCATTTATATTTTGACTGTTTAAGGTCCATTCTACAAGGATTATGAGATATTTGGAACCCAGCTGAGGGAGGCCAGACAGCAAGCCGAAGATACAACATCTGTTCTGAATTCAGACTGGCCACAAGCACAACAACTCTATGGGGAAGCACAGGCTGTGGCTAGATCACAAAATGGCAAAGATAACGGGTTCTCTTTTTCTTAACTGTAAATGGTTTTCACACCCCACATTTCTAAGTCCCTCACCTCTGCACAGTCCCAGTTTACTACAGGTGCCAACATCAAAACCTTGCAGCTTCCTGAATCTTACCACAAAACTGTCTGGTTGAGCCTTGAGAATAAAATGAGCTCCAAGCCAACCATGTTCTTTTATTTTAATTGCTGACAGAAATTTTACTATTTTGACTTCATCCTCCAACTATCCCAGCTACTTCAAAGATGCTGCCTTTATTTCTCCAAAGGATTCTGACCCTAACAATCTTCTGGGTGCTGAGAGATGACCCCAAAGTGAGAACATGACACCTCCAGAGAAAAAGATCTGACTATAGGGAGTGTTCTGCAGCAAATGCTGACAGAATGGGATAGGAGAAAGCTGAGACAGGAAGCACTTCCCCTTGAGAATCTCAGAAACCTCTTTTAAATGAAACTGCAGCCATTCTGCTGGCCACTCAATGTCTGCCAGGACCCAATCTTGGTAATTACCTCCACTCCGTTTGCTTTATTTTACATACCCCAGGAGCAAGAAACCAAGGAAGGCCTGTTACAAACCCTGTTATTCAGAAGCCTCATTGCACAAACAGAAATAACATTAATGCTAATTTCTAAGGGAAAAACACCACCAAAGAATGCAACTCTTAGGTCATGACCAATCTAATTTATTTAAGCCATCTCCTGCCATAAGCAAAGAGACGGGAGATTAGTATACTTTAGTCATCATTTTATACTAGGGCAAGAAGGTCAGCTTAAGGTCCCATATACTTCTGGTCCGTGTGCAGAGTATTGGTCCCAACCAGTGCTGTGGTCCCCACTGGGTAGTGGTCCAGGTTCTCTCTATTCATCTTCATAGCCAGTTGGAAGCGGATTCAGGTGAGGATTATGGAATAGAGTATGGTTACCATCTCCCCAGGGAAAGGGCTGTGGAGTGAAGATGTCAATTAGAACATTCCAGAAAATAGTTCATAAACAGCACTGCCATGAACTTAAAATAGGGTGATAGGTAATACATAAAACAAAATGGAAATTAGTTCTTTTTCAGCCTTCCCATAACTCAAGGGGGAGCTCTTATAACTTCTAGGAGAGCTCTTAGAGTAGGTAACAGGAAAAGCAAGCTCAAGTTTGTTCTTCATAAGCCTCTCCCTGGTAACTGGTATATCAATGTTGTGTTTATGACAGTGTAATCCTCAAGTCACCTGTATCAGAAATGGCAGAGGTAGGTATGGGGGAGAAGACAGTCCCATGCTACCTTTGAAAAGCATTGTTCTTGGGCAGTGGTTTCCAACACAGGATGATTTTGCCCCTCCAGCGACACTGGGCAATATCTGAAGACATCTGGGGCGGGGTAGGGTACTACTGGCATCTAGTGGGTAGAGGTCAAAGTATGCTGCTAAACATCCTACAACTGAGGAGAGCCCGCCCCAAGAATTATCCAGCTCCAAATGTCAATAGTACTAAGGCTGAGAAACCTTGCTGTATGGCTTCTAATTCTACTATACAAAGGTGGGAGTGGGGCTCAAAGACTCAAAAATTCTTCCTGAATCTAAGAATCTAGCTTAAGTTTCTATGAGGCCAGTCCTACCTGGACTAAGTGATGTAATAGTTATTAAAGGACCAGAAGAGGCTCTTGTTAAGAATACAGCAAACAACGGGAAACAAATGATTAAGCAATATCTGCATCCACAGCCAAAGGATAAAACAGTTGGGAAGATATACAGCCTAGAGGAGAACTGAAAGTGTCAGCGTCTTCATTATGCAACTAGTACCTGCCAGGTGCCCAGGTCCTAGAAAGGTGAACCACGTTCCGACCTGCCAGCTTAATCAAGTTTCCCAAACCTCCAAGTTTTATATAACCGACAACTGTTTCCGAACAGTATCAGGAGACAGAAACTGGGAAGGATCATAGAAGGAAAACTGAAGGGCACTTATTGTATGACTCTGAAGAAGAAACTGAGAAGTGACCCCCCTCCCCCACGCCTCAGGTTCCTTTCCGTAAAACCGGAGAAAACAATTGGTGATTATTTCATGAGAAACTGTACACGCCCGGGATGGAATGCACGCTTTCAGAGAATAAAGCACTTGGACGAGGGCATCTGGAATGAAAAGAGAGCGGACACTCCAAGAGAACGCGAGGGCGTACCTTGGTCCTGATGCGGAGGTGGGGGTAGGCGATGAACTCGGGTCTCTCGTGCTCCTCGTGGTGCGACTTCAGAAAGACGTTCAGCATGCTCACGCCCACCCCGGGGAGCGCAACGAAGTAGGTGAGGGCCTTCCACATTCGAGCTGCGGAGGGGCACCACGGCTCAGGCCGGCGGCGCTGGAAACCGGCCCGCGTCTCATCCCCCTCCCCCAAGGCCTCGAGCCAAGGTCACAGTCCCGCGCCGCCTCGCTGGAGTCGAGCTGAGGCCCGCGCCCCCGCCCGCAGCCCCAGTACCTGAGCCCTCCTCGCCGTGGGCGCCACTCGACATAGGCCGCGCCAGCTGTGGCCGGAACCGACCCAGCAGCCTAGGCACCTGGGACCCAGCCGCCGCCGCCATTTTTACCGAGACCTCCGCAACGCCGGAAGCGGAAGCAGAAGAATGGGCTGTGGAGGCGGGACCCCAACCTCAAAGGAAGTTCCTATTGGGCGGTGCCTTTTAACCAAGGAGCCTGCGCACTCTCTTCGGGGCGGAAGCGTCCCTGTCGAGAAGCTCGGAGCAGCGGAGCAGAGGGGAGCGTGAGTCCCGCGCCTCCCGAGTGCGCTCCCCCTCCCCACGGTCCGCGCCCCGGTGGAGCTAAGCGCCGGAGGAAGGTTAGAGGGGGCGCCCTGGCATCCGTGATCGCTCCCTTCGTTGGAGTCCGTGGACAGCACAAACCACCTATCTAAAATGGCAGGCCCCCGCCTCCCCATTCTCTGACCCTGCCTTGTTTTCATGGCACCTGACATAATTAATCGTCGTCTTCATTATTATTTTGTCTGGCTCCCTTGATAGAATATAAACTGATGCCAGGAGTTCGCCCTACTTACCATTCCCAGACTCGGGAATGGTGCCAAAATTTGATGAATGAATGAGTGGATTGGATGGATGAATGAATGCTTGCATAATGAATGAATAGCAACGGGAAACAAAAATTGGTGTTTGCTATGTTTTGGCACGACAACATCCTTCTACTCATCTAAAAACAGTTTTTAAAAATAAAAGTTTAAAAAAAGTAGATACATATGATGAAAATAAATTTCTGATCATAGGCACCTTTAATAATATAGGGAAGGCTCTGAACCCTTCCCCCCAAAATGCACCTCCTCCTAAGCACACAGTGTTTAGCAGACATTGTTGGGGGAACAAGGTACCATAAAGTACATCCGGAGACCCCCCTAAGAGTCCTTGTGCCCCAGGTCAAGGACCCCTGAGTAGGGGAATAAACAGGGACACTAGTGTGGGAAGACTGGGTTTACATCTTGTTTCCTTCCCTTACTGTCTGTGTGACCTTGGGCAAGTTAGATAAAATGAATACTTTAAGGTCATGCATTTCATGAAGGCAAAAATTTAGGATCGTGTTACTAGAGCTTCACAGTCTGATCGAGCATTAGATCTTTCTCTGAGTAGCCTGGGGTTTTGCCTATTATGGTGTAATCAGGGTCATCAAATCCCTATGCAGCTTCAAACACAGCCAGGGGGTGTATGAGGCCCCACAGTGTGGCCATGGAAAGGATCCAGCTCAGGCATCAGGAAATCCTGGGCTCGAATCTCTCATCTGCCACCTGCTGTTTCCTCTTCTCTAAAATGGGAATGTAACACTCATTTTTATCCTACAAATATTTGTTATCCAACAAATATTTATTAAAACCCAGCTCTACCTTGGGAAGTTATTCAGCCTCCATCTACAACAATGAAGTTTCATTTAATAAATATTAACTAATCTTCCTACTATATTTCAGGCATGTGCAGTAGTACACACGAGCTCTAAGATCTCTCTCATGCAGCTTACATTCTAGTGGTGGAGACAGGATTAAATGATAAATGCTCAATGCCTGGAATATGTTAAAAATTCAATAAATGTTCATTTTTCTCATAGGTCTTTCTTACACCATGCAGGGTGGCACTGCTAAAATAAAGATTCTGCCATGCTTGGCACAGAGTATATGCTCAGGCATATACCCTGACACTGTACTCTCCGTACTGTGCCTTCTATCTTTATAGCACATACCTCCATCTGACATTAAATATTTATTGGTTTGTTGTCTCTCTTCCTTCATGGACTATGTTTTGTTCACTGGTGTGACCCCAGTACTTGGCACAAGATAGACACTGAAAATACATTAAAATCCCAACCATGATCTGTCAGCTAGATACTATTTCCCCACTTTTCAGATAAGGAAACTGAGACTCTGAGATGTGCAGAAAGTTGCGTAAGGTCACTAAGTAGGTGCTGGACCCAAGCACTCTAGGACTCAAGCCAATTTTTTTAACCATACAAACTTTGCTTTAGGTAGAATGATATTCCAAGTCATGTGATCCCTGATAATGGACAGAACCATCAAATGGGTCCTCAGGATACTGAGTTGGAAGCTCCCAGCGTGTGCTGTCCCTCCCTCACTATGACTCCAGGGCATAGGGCCTCTCTATGCAGGGAGCTGCCCCAAGGCCATGGCCAGCCTGCCCTGGATTTGATGTCATCCTCCTTGGCAGCTGATGGTATTTACATTCGTACTGAACCCACTAAGGCTCTCTGACACTCGATTTCCTTGAAACTGGGGGCTGGTGGATCGGCACCTCAATACTGGGAACAGCTGCTGATGGGGGAGGCATTGGAGCGAGACTGGGGGAGGCTGCCTAGCCAAGGACAGGACTTGCTTAAGGGAAAGCTTATCTGGGGCATTCTGTCTGCGACTTTTACTGTGGTTTCTCCCAGCTAAGAGCACCTCCATTGGACCAGTAAATATTTGTCCAACAAGAGACTAATCCTAGGAGAAGGCGCTGAGCCATTTTCCCATGCAGGCTGCAGGGGAAGCTAGGGTGTTGTGACCACCACCTCAACCCTCTGAATAACCTGTCTGAGCTGCTCAGCATCATTAACTCATTCAATGAGGGTCTTAAATGTCTCATTGCGCTAGGTGACAAGACAGCAGTGACTCTCATGGGACACCCAGCCAAGGGGAAGAGACTGACAAACAGCTATTACACCAGTGTGATGGGTTCTGCAATGGGAGGCAGTGAAGCATGGACCTTGGCATCAAGTTCAAGTCCCAGGTCTGCTACTTAGCTATGTAATCATGGGCAAGACAAGGCACCTCTTTGAGTTTCACCTGTGAATTGAAGTTATTACAAGAATAATAGATATTAGCTAACATTTATTAAGCACTTATTGTGTACTGAGCCTTTCTCATGTATTAATTTGGTCATTACAACATTGCTATGAGATAGATGCTATTCTTATAGCATTGATTATAATCATCCATCGCAGACCACCAGGAGGTATGGCACCTGGCACGAACTGCATTCTTTGCCCCTTGGTCTTGTCAATAATTAGTACCTGAATTATACTATTTAAAAGAGGTACTGACTGTAACGGGTATGGTAGCAGAAAATAATTTGTGCAGAATCGCAGGGCGTTTGTCTGCTCCGACCCTATAGTCCTGTAAGTAAATTACCCTGTGATGAATTGTTATACCCTATGGAGCTGCCTGCATCATTTTTCAGTATGAAGATACTTTTACACCTTTGCCCCACCATCAGACAATAGGGAAAATCATAGCACCTACCAAATAAGGTTGCTGGGAGCGCGAAACTGGATGATGCGTAGAAACACTTAGCACCCTGCTCAGCAAATCACAGCAGTTGATGGCACGTTATTATCAATCATCTACTGTTAATTGTGAAAAACAAATTGGGGGGGCCCTGGCCCCGGTAGCCCAGTTGGTTAGAGAGTCGTCCTGGATACACCAAGGTTGTGGCTTCCATCCCTGGTCAAGGCACATACAAGAAACAACCAATTAATGCATAAGTAAGTGGAACAACAAATCTCTCTCTCTCTCCCTTCCTCTATCTAAAATCAATCAAAAATAAAAACAAGCCAACAGAAAACAAATTGGGCGTGTCGTATGAGAAACATATCTCAATAAAGCTGTCAAAGGCAACCAAACAGGCTCCAACCTATTGTGACACGTATGTTTCGTTTTTGTAAAATGCATAGAAAAATACTGTAAGGGTCAGACTCGCCTGTTAACAGAAGTTACGTCTGGGTGTTTGTTTCTTTTTTAAATTTTCACAGTGAACGCATATTGTTTGTGTTAAGAACAAAGGCGTTCACCAAAACGCAGATTGTGAAGTTGCTGCGGGCACTTTCCTTGCAGGACTGTGAGCGCCGTCGGGGCGCGGGCTCAGCCGTCGACAGCGAGGTTCCCGCGCCTGCAGTACCGCGCTCTCCCTGCGGGTGGCAGGCTCCTCATGTGCGGGCGCCGCCCACCAGTCTGGCCGCAGATGGGTCTCGCCTGCCACCTTCAACGTGGCTGTCTGGTCCTAGGGTCCCCGAAGGAAGGAGGGCGGTGGAAGCTGCGACAGGCATAGAGGGAGCCAGGCCGCCCTTCAGGGGACTCCTTGTTAAGGCCTTGCCTCGGAGACTTCTGAGTTTCCCCTGGATTTAGGACAAGAGAAGAAAAACTTCTGTGCTTGGAGAAAGCCCCTCCTCCCTACCTTACCTCCCCCACCCCCGCGGTGGGGAGCAGAGTAGAGACCCAAAGGCCCCCTGGGCCTTAGAGACAGAGAGAGAGAGGCCGTCTTGTAAATAGTTATCTTCATAACATGACTCATAGGGCAGTGCACTTGGTTGTTGACTGACTGCCCCCTCCCAGTAGCTCTTTGATTTGGGGTATTATTAGTATCCCATCTTGCAGAGGAGGGCCACTGTGACTTAGAGAGGTAGTACCCGCTTAGAGAGACAGACCTCAGCTGTGCCCGATTCCAAATCCCTTCCTTTGACCCACCCCTGTGTGTCAAGCTGAGACCTCCTCGGAGACAGTGCCCACCTAACTGAACATGATTAACTATTAATACTAATGGCCCCCATTTAGCCTATCCTTATTGCAATGTGGCATCTGACATATATCATCTCACTTAAACCTTCCAACAACCCACAAAGTGATTCCATTTTACTGATGAGGAAACCGAGCCTCAGGGAAGCAACAACTGACACTGCTAGAGGCGAGCCTGAAGAAGCCAACATTCAAGTGCACCTTGAGTGACCACAAAGTCTTTGCTTTTGGCCGGTACATTTAGGTATTGAAGCAGTGACTCCTTATAGCTTCACCAACTGCTGTGGCCTCTGCCTGGAACCCTCTTTCCCCTGCTTGTCACGTAGTGTGCGTCCCCTTAAATATCAGCTTTCTCGGAGAGGCTTTTCCTGGTCACTCTAAAGGAGCCCTTCTTTCTTTATAGCAAGTATCATATTTTTTAATAGCACAAATCATAATCTGTGTTGTTTCTCTTTCATTTACTTCATTTACATCTCTCTTATTAAAGTGTAAATTCCACGAGAACATTTAACTTCTCTTTTGTTGTTGTATCTCCAACACTTCGCACTCTTCCT